AAGTGGTCAGTTGCTTATTAGCACAAGATGTAGATGATGGAAAGGAAAGGGCAATTTATTATTTGAGCAAGACTCACAGGACCAGAATTAAATTATACTATATCAGAAAAAATGTGTTATTCGTTGGTGTTTGCATGCACCAAACATGAACATTATATGTTGCCAGAAGAATTGAGGTTATTTCAAAGATTGATCTCATCAAATTAATTTTGCAAAGACCGACGATGCAGGGCAGACTTATGAAGTGGGCCATTAAATTAGCGCATTTCGATTTGTATCATTCCCCTTTGAGGGCAGTCAAAGGCCAAACAATAGCAGATTTTTGGGCAGACTTCGCAGGTCCTGAGCAGGTACCGACTGAATGTATATCTTATGTAAGTACCCGAAATTGGTTAATATTTTTCGATGGTTCTACCTCAGGAAACAGATCGGGTGCAGGTGTTTTGTTAGAAGGACCAGATGGTCAAAGTGTCAATTTTCAGTTGCAATTAGAAGCCATGACCCATAATTCAGCAGAATATGAGGCTTTAATCTTAGGATTGGAAGCTTTGATAGCTAGGAAAGTTCAATCGATGATTATAAGAGGAGATTCTCAGTTGGTAATTAACCAAGTTAACAAACAATATGTTTGCAATTATCCTCATCTACGCAGATACAAGGATTTGGTAGGTCGGTTTCTATCAAAGATCTCCGAAGTGATAATTGAGTTCATCCCTAGAAAAGAAAATCAATTTGCAGATGAACTAGCTCAAAAAGCTTGCAAAGGAATCCCAAAGATATATATGCAGAGGTCGGCCTGAGGCAGAGACGGGAACCGACTGGAGGACAGAACTTGTCATGTATCTACAAGATCCAGGAGCGAATGTACCGGTTGGAATACGATTGAAAGCTTTACGATTCCAATTGGTAGAAGGAGTACTATATAAAAGGAAATTCGAGGGGTTACTCCTGAAATGGTTGGGTTCCAAACAGGCTTTGGAGGTGATGACAGAAGTGCACAGTGGGATTTTTGGAGCTCATCGGGCATGTTTGAATATGAGATGGGCTATTCATCGGTTGGGCTTCTTTTGGCCAAAGATTTTTGGAGATTGCATACAATTCGCCGAAGGTTGCCAAGAATGTCAGAGGCATGGGTAGTTAAATCACTTACCAGTCACAGAATTGCAAACTATGGTAAAACCATGGCCCTTTAAATCTTGGGCTATGGATATCATTGGTAAAATTCATCCTCCCTTGTCCAAACATCATTGTTTTATTCTGGTTGCAAAAGATTATTTCACCAAATGGGTGGAGGTGGTTGCTTGGCCCTTTAAATCTTGGGCTATGGATATCATTCGTAAAATTCATCCTCCATCGTCCAAACATCATTGTTTTATTCTGGTTGCGAAAGATTATTTCACCAAATGGGTGGAGGCGGTTGCTTTGAAAAATGTGGATCAAAAGGAGGTAATAGATTTTGTGTTGAATCAGATCGTATATATGTATGGTATTCCTCATTCAGTAACAACCGACCAAGGTTTGGTCTTTACTGGGGAGAAGTTTCTAAGTTTTTTGGCAGAGTTTGGTATTTGTCTGAATCATTCTTCGCCTTATTATTCCCAAGCTAATGGGCAAGCAGAAGCAGCTAACAAGATTATCATTGGGATTATAAAGAAAACGATTGAAGGAAACCCAAGGAAATGGCATTTGTTGTTATCTCGAGCCTTATGGGCGCATAGGAATAACAGAAATTCTGCCACAGGATTTTCACCATATCAGCTCACATTTGGACAAGATGCTGTGTTGCAAGCCGAAGTTCAAGTTTCATCTGGACGTACAAGCTTTACCACTGATGATTTTACCAAGGAATATCAACAAAATATGTTACAGCAGTTGGAAGATTTGGATGTTATTCGACTTCATGCAATTGATAAAATTGTGAGGCAGAGTGAAATCAGGGCTAAGACTTATGGAAGGAAAGTGTTTTATAGAACATTCAAAGAAGGAGACTTGGTCTGGAAAACTATCATTCCTACATATAAGAAGATTGATCAGTTAGGGAAGTGGTCTCCAAATTGGGAAGGACCATTCATAGTTCAAAAAGAGATCGGAAATAGTGCCTATATTATTATAAATCAAGAAGGTAAAAGGGTGCACGACTATATTAATGCTAAATATCTGAAGAGGTATTTTCCTGCCTTTTCAGATAGCAGGAAAGCATGAAATAGTGATTTTATTCAGAACCCGATTACCAAAGGTTCGGACCCAAAAAAGGGTTCACTCATTATCAGATGTTGAGTCGTGTGGAGGATTACTTTCTTCTGAGTCAGAATCTTCATTCCAGTGATTAGGGATTAGTTCTGGTTCCTCATCAATAAGGTCCTCTAAATCAGGTCGGTACTTGTCCCATTGGTCTTGCATTTTCTCTAGATCATAGTCGGTGCGAGCTTTCATGTCTGTCACGGCTTGACATTCACGATCAACAAGAGTGCGTAACCTCGAAAAGACTGCGCGCTGATTGGAGAATGTATGATCCCAACTAAGGTCTGGGAGTATGGCTGTCACATGGTGTTCAATCAAATCCATATGATGGTCAATGTCGGGAAGGCGATTTTGTATATCCCGAAGGGTTTGATATCCTTCCAGCACGTTTTCCATCAGGCGAATAACACGATGAATGGTTTTTCTGCCTCGTTTGGAAAATCTGAATTTGAAATCCAATTGTTTGAGTATGTATAAGAAGTCTTCGGCATGGCCTCCAACTGGATGATTACCCACGAAGAAAGGTTGAATAACACATTGTCAATTGTTTACAGGAACATGAGGACGGTTGGGTGGCATTTTAATATTTATTAGCAGACGTGCTCAAGGACCAATTTATGGTTAAACGTTTGGTCGTTGATTGGCAAGGATTGCAGGTGTTTATAAGGGAGACGAATTGGATTGGTTCCCTGGAGGGTCGGAGTTTTGGAAAGTGATCGTTAACAATAGGATAGAAATTTATTTAGCAAGTCAAAGTTTCCAATAATTTTATAGAAGAGATCCTAAAGCAATTTTAATCTGGGACCATTTATCTTCTGTCCTGGAGAGTTGTCTGTTATTGGCAGCCGACTGGTATTGCCTTATAAGTTGGGATCGGGCGTGGATCTTCAGTTCTTGGTCCAGGTCAGCTGCATTTTTCTTGTACCGATCAATCAGGCGTTGCTCGTCGCTTATGTGGCCTTCGATGACAGATTTTTCTTGATGAAGTGCTCTCAGTTCTGCCTCCTTTTGTTGGATTGATTCTTCTATTTGTGCTTTGGCGTTAGAGAGGCCTTCTAGTCTTCCAGTCGCTTGTTGAATGGATTCTTTGGTTTTAGTCAAGGAAGCTTCCAAATTTATTTGATCCAAGTCGGGTAAGGGTGTTTCAGTTTTCAGAAGTTGAGCGAACAAGATTTTATTTCGAAGTTCAGACAGTCGTTCCATCAGTTGGTGAAGAATGGGGGCGGCAGCTGATTCTGAAGGAACTTGAAATAAGAGACCACCAATGGCTTGAAGAAGACCGTCAAGTAAGTCTGATCTCAGGCCAAGGAAAGGTTGATCAACAGCCTGCGCGATTATAGTTCGGGCGTCCGTCGGAATTGGGACAGCTGACAAGAGGGCTAGATCAGGACATCCCTGGAAAAATGGATGTTTATTTCAGATTACATGAAGCACAAATATTGAGAATTGATTGTGGAAGTTTTACTTACTTTTGGACGGATCGTGGTCGCGAAAGGCGCCAGGAGTGTTATAGGTCTGGATGGTTGGGCGGTTGGTAATGCGATGGCCGACTCGTCCGCTGCTTCAAATGGACACTGTGGTATTGATCTGGGTCCCTGGATGATAGGGATATAGTGTATTAAAGATTACGTAAACACTAGCTTGTAATTTGAAAGAGGGAATCTCAGGTGTCTACCAGATTAACAGAGGTCTCTGAATCATAAGAGGGGATTTCTTGTAACTCTTGTAAAAGACCCCTCGGTTTAACAGGTGCAGGTGCTTCTTCTTGTCTGTCTGCTTCTGGAAGAGGGTTTGCTGCCCTTGGGTCGGCAGCTCTCAGGTCGGCTATCTCCAGGTCGGCTGCCCCCAAGTCGGCTGCTCCTTGGTCCGGTGCGTCTAGGGCGGCCACAGCTGGTTCGTCGGGAGCGATTTGAACGGCCGCATTAGAGATATTTCTGTCTTTTGAAGCGACCACATTGGAGGCGACTGCACTAGAGGCGACTGCAGTAGAGGCGGATGCAGGCGTGGCCATTGGCGCCATATTAGGCAGAGATTGGTCTGAAGCGACATAAAGTAATCTACCCATCTATGAAGCAGTCGCCTCACTGTGGGATGAGATCCTTGTTGTTGCCAGTTCGGCTGGTGAAGGCGTTTTCTTTGAGGCCCGGCGTTTGGTCGGGAGTTCAGGTTCGTGAAGTTGGTCGGTTGGTGGCTCTGCTGATTTGTTTGGGTTTGAAGCAGGTTGGTCGGTCGCCCTAGCCAAAGTCGGACCTGAATATAAAAATAAAGATTAATAACATGGTAAGAAAAGAATCAAGTTAAGTTGAAAATATACCTGGACGAGATCGGATCTTTACGAGGATCCGACCTGATGGGTGATCTGTCAATGTCGGTCGATTGTTTCCAGAACCACTAATATCTTACATGAATAATTAAAATTTAACTTTTATATTTAAAATATTAAATGAAATTTATATATATTATCTCAAATAATTTGAAGTAGAATCTAAACCATCAACAAACACACATCCGTTCAAGCCAAACCCAAATCCGAACCTGAACCCCAAGCGAAACCCGACCCTCATCCGGAACCTAACTGGGCGGGGGCGGGGCATAATCCAACATTCAGACATTTCACCGTCACGCAAGTCAAGGAAGAAACTTCTTCGTAAATGCCCCCCTTCCAATAATGCTAATCCTATCGCTATCTAATCTTTATTAGTATTGATATTGATTTCCACAATTTATTTATTTATTTATCATATTCAAATATTAAAACCGTGTTTGCAAAATGGGCCATCGTCGTCCTCATTCTTCTTTCCTCGTCTGATAGCTCGCTGCCTCACCTGCGCCAACTGCGCCGCCAATCCCCACGCGTTTCTCATTATTATTATTATTATAATAAAAAAACCCAATATCAATTCTCTGCCCTACCATCATCATCATCGTTGGTTAGGTTTGGTTGGATCAGACCAGACCAGACCAGCTCAGATCAGATCAGATCATATATATGGGAATGTAGTATTGAATTGGTTGTGTTTTCTTTACCTCATTAATAAGTTGCTTTGACAATAATTATGTTGTAGTATTATCAATTTGGACTGGTTTATTCATTTCGTGAATTAAGCTTCTTCTAGTAAAGTATATTGTTGTTGCTGTATCTGTAGCTGTAGCTTGGGCTTCAATGGCGGACGCCGGCGAGGAGAAGCTTGTGGCCGTCGCTCGCCACATAGCCAAGACTCTCGCCCACAGCGATACCATGGCCACCGATATCCTCAACATATTCTCCAACTTCGACGGCAGACTCCGCCAAAACCTCTCCGGCGACGCCGCCCAGCAGACCCTCTCCTCCCTCCACCGGAAACTCTCCCCCCAAACCCCCCTTTGGTCCTTCCTCCACTCCGTTGACCGCTTGACCGCCGTCATCCGCGAATGGACCCCTTTCTCCGGCGACGAAATCCTCGCCTCCTGCGTCCGTCGGGCCGAGACTCTTCTCCGGCAATCCATGTCACGTCTCAGCGACGAATTCGAAACTCTGGTTCGACACGCCGGCGCGTTTCCTGATGACGCAATTTCCGACAACCTACGGGAGATAGCGAATCGGATGGCGGCGGCAGGGCACGTACAAGACTGCTCCCACGTGTACGTCACGTGCCGGCGGGAGCAGTTAACACGAAGCCTCTGTAATTTGGGATTGGACCGGCACGTGACCACCACCACCACCACCTACGAATGGCTTGAAGACGACATCGAGATATGGATCAAATGCATTACCACCGCCGTCAGAGTCCTTTTCCCGACGGAGCAACGCCTCTCCGCCAAAATCTTCTCCTCCACCGCCGCTGCTGCCGACCTTTCCTTCTTCGAAATCTGCACTGCCCCCACAATGCAGCTATTGAACTTCACCGACGCTCTCGCCGCCGGAAGCCGATCGCCGGAGAGGCTCTTCAAGCTGCTCGAGGCCTATGAAACCGTCCGTGACTTGACCCCCGAGTTCGAGCTACTTTTCCTTGATCATTTCCACGACGAAATTGAATCGGCAACGGAAAAATTGAGGGAGCTTATTAAGAGCATATTCATGGAGTTAGAGGAGTTGATCCGCCGCGACACAGCCTCGGCCACGGTCCCCGGGGGCGGATTGCATCCCCTAACTCGATACGTGACAAACTATCTATCTGCGGCTTGTGGGTCGCGGCAGATTTTGGAAGACATTTTCGATGGTAACATTGTGGGAGAGCGAATGGCGAGGACGATGGAGTTGTTGGAGAGTAATTTGGAGGCAAAGTCGAAGGTGTACCGGAACCCGGCATTGTGCGCGGTGTTCATGATGAACAACATGCGATACATCGTGGAGAAGGTGGCGAAGGGGGGCGAGATGGGGGCGGTTTTAGGCGCGGATTGGATTCGGAGGCGGATGGCGAAGATAAGGCAGTATCACACGAGCTACTTGCGGTGCTCGTGGGCGAAGGTTGTTGGGGTTCTTTTGAGCCGGGGGGCGGGCGAGCTTTCTTCGTCCAAGAAGCTCAAGGTGTTCAACTCGTGTTTCGAGGAGACATGTCGGATCCAGTCGTCGTGGGTGATCTTCGACGAGCAGTTGAGGGAAGAGTTGCGGGTTTCGGTTGTGGGGATGGTGTCGCCGGCGTACCGCAGCTTCATCGGGAGGCTTACGGCGAAGGAGGGTCGGCGGTATATAAAGCTAAGCGTGGAGGACGTGGAGGGTCGTATAGCAGCCCAGCTCTTTCAAGGCTCAACTGGAAGGGCAAGAAGATGATGATGATGACGATCACCATCAAAGATTTTGATTATTTTAATACCATACACTACACTACACTGCAACACGATACATGATAGTGATGAATATGATGATGATACATGTTTGTAGATTGTAATAAATAAATATATCAAGTGGAGTAGTGATTTCTAAAAACTAGAACGCAAGATTGAAGTTCATGGGTGTTCATGGAATGTTTTAACAATAAAAAGTAAAATTCGAAAATATAAATTATTTTTGAATTTGATAAAATAAATGCATGAGATTAGGAATCCTTAGGTACTATAGGATACATAAGTGAAATAAGAAAAATAAAAACTACAGACTAAAAACGTAAAGTAGTGATCCCAAAAGCAATTCTCTTGAATTTTATGTCGATTGAAGATTGAAGATCCTTTGTACAATAAATTCAAATCCTTAAATATCCCTTAAAGAAAATGCTTGGAATCGCCGTCTGAACAGTTACCGTAACCACTCTCAAACGCCCACAAATTTCTCCTTCAATGACACGTGTCTTTAACTGCCCCGCTAACCGTTTCCACCAGTTCCAGAACTCAACTGGCCCAACCGACCGCCTCTGGGCGCCTTACTTCGTTAAATGGACGGCTAGTCCCGAACGAATGCCCCACACGCCTAGCATGCTTCAAATGGCCCACAGGCTGACCGACTGAACCTGCCGAATAACTCAACAATTTACCAACTGACTGGTTGCTAGACCAAATGACTACTCAATTGCCCATTCGAGCGACCACCAATTAGTCCCCTCAAATAAATGAACACACATCTGTCCAGACGATTCATTGAGCGCCCGACCTTCTCTTGTCCGACCTCCATATCGGCCGACCAGCTTAACCAACCGTCCGACCTCATTTGGTCCGACCACGGTCCAACTGACCTCGCACCAACCGACGGCAGACCAACCGAGTGCGGACCAACCGACTGCGCATCCACCGACGGCAGACCAACCGACCGTGAACCAACCGACAGCGAACCAACCGACGGTACACCAACCGAACGCGAACCAACTGAACGCGGACCAACCGACGACGCACCAACCGAACGCGGGACCAACCGAACACTGAACAACCAAACGCGGACCAACCGAACGCGGACCAACCGAACGGCTCTATTTGCCTTATCTCCTTAGATGAACAACTGGTTCAACAGACTATCCTGAAAAAACCCTTTAATCAATTTGGCGGGCCCAACGACGGGCCCACATCTCATTTTATCTTGGGCTTTTTATCCTAATTCTAAAATTCATACGTAATAACTTGCCCACTGCTATCGAACTCTCAAACGCCACTCCTTGATCACCGTTTAGGAGTTCGCAATCTATATAACATCACCTCACTCTTAAAAACCTCTCATCTTTAATTTCGCTTACTTCACACATCCACTAAAGCACAATTTCTCCCTCAAAACCTTTCATCTTCACTACCGTTTTTCCTCTGTTTCTCTGCAACTCAAGGTCATGGCGAATCAATACATACCTGCATTCCTTTTTGATGGAACCGTATCGGAAGTATCATTTGTCGCTACGAAAGTACTAACTCCTACCATCCGCCATACTGTACGACTCCTGAAGACTCCAACCGGATGAGGGAGATATTGGAAGCAGGAAACCCCCTCGCCGTCAATAATCCCAATTACAACACATCCGTCTCCATGACAGTATCAGAACACATCTGACGGACCCCAAAGAAGCCTACGTCACCTGGTATAATAGAGTGGCGGAGCGTTTTCAAGACCAATGGAAACGCCAACAAATCGACCAGGCAATCGACTTTTCCATTTTATTTACACAAAAAAGTGCTTCTGGCGATGTCGGCGTTCTGGCACTCGGAGATGGGTATCTTCTTTCTGCCGACGGGCCCCATTGGCCCAACTCTCATGGATGTGGCCATGATTGCCCATCTTCCCATTGTGGGTGAGGATCCTGTGATGGGAGCCCTAGATGGATAGGAACCAGATGCGGACCATTCGGGCTGGTCTTTAGTTGGCATTAAAGAATGGGGCTGGACTAAATTTGCAACCGACCAGCAAGGGGCAGCCGGGAGCCCTGTAACCGACCGCGAACATGTCGCATTCCTTCTCTTCTGGCTCTGTAGGTATGTCATCATCTCCCCTTCCAAAAGTGTCCGTTCCTCCCATCTTGACTTGGCTATCCATATAGCTTCAGGTCGTTTCTTTTCTCTTAGCACTCTCTTCCTTGCCAATCTTTTGGAAGGTCTGTCTAGAGTTAGTACCCGTCTTATGGATAGAGATAGCAAAAAATTAGATACTACTGCGTCGGGCCCTTTTTGGTTTCTGGAACTTTGGTTCCGCCTCTATTTCCCCGACGCGTACCAACTTGGCCGCCTTTCTATCACTCCAACACCCGACAAGTCCTTGGCACTAGCCCTTAACCGACTTTGTCTAGGTCGTAACAACCTCCAATCATCCGACCCCATCATTATGGCTATCTTAACCGACGACCGCAGCAACTCTCGCTTTTATGTATATAGAAAATATGCCTGCTATGTGTCTGGTCTATTTTGGCCTTTTCCTGTGTCTTCACCCATGGCCGAACCTGACCCTCTTCCTCATCCAACTTACTCCTTCTCCTAGGATTCAGCCCTTAAACCCAAGTCTTTATTTGTTAGTAAGAAATCTGATAAGAAGGGCCACAAATCGCTTTATACTTTCAGCTATCAACCTCAATTTTTGGCACGCCAATTCGGCTGCCGTCAAGGCTTACCTGGCCCCATCGCCCATCCTCACCTAATACCTCAAAGCCCGGATGGGCGAGTCATCCCCAAGTTGATCTCTCCTTATATTTCCCAAATCACCAATTACATAACTTCCAATTCTTATATTCCCTTCTGTTCTTCTCCCGACTCTGTGGAGTCCTTCCGTGAATGGTGGTCTGTCACTTGGGCCCTAATTGCCCCTGAGAAAGATCGGTTGCTGGGCGTTCTCCTGTCCCAGCCTGCCTTAGTGCTAGGGGCGGCTCAATTGACTAATACCCGAAGAAAAGTAGTCGCCCTAGGCACTGGGTCGAGCGCCCCAAAAAGAAAAAGGAGAGCTTCTCCAATCTAGACAGCTCCGACCCCTGGAATAGAGCAGCAGACTTCGAAAGACTTTTCATCAGGTTGGGTGCCAGTACAGCCCTGACCCCGTTTAGGTATTTTTCAGAAGTCCTGACTTAGTCTGCTACTTCCTTAATTTTTAACTTATCATCCTTACTATCAGGCCCGACCTCGGCAATCTAACCTCGGCCGAACCACCAACACTCACCTTACCAAGGGCTAGTCGGGAGGTAAACCCGACTAGGAGGCAGTCCCTTTCTTCTCAGCCGATGATTGGTCGGAAAGAGGTCCTGACCAAGAGAAAAGCATTGCCAACATCGCTAAAAGATCCAATAAGTTTCCTTAACATCCGATTTTCACCACTTCAAAACTCACATTGGCAATAAATATCTAACATACTTTTTACAGACGCCTTCACCAACCGAATTGGCGGTAGCAAGGGTCTCATCTGATAGTGAGGCGACTACTTCGCAGATGGGCAGACTGCCATACGTGGCTTCAGACTCGTCTTTTCGTAACGAGGAGCCAATTTCAACACCCGCACCCTCTTCTGTTGCAGCCGACTCCGCTGCAGTCGCTTCAACCAACAGAGATGTCTCAAATGTAGCCGTCCAAGTCGCTTCATTTGACAGGGATATTTCAAATGCGGCCATCCAAGTTGCACCCGACATACCAGCTGCAGCAGCCCTAGATGCAGCCGACCTGAGAGCAGCAGACCCTATTCCGGAGGTGGCCAGATGGAAAGAAGAACCTACAGCCGCCCAACCGAGAGGTCTCTTGCAGGAACAAGAAGAGATTCCTTATTCTGATTCGGGGACCTCTGTGAATCTGGTAACACCTTCAAGCTCCCTTTTCCTCACTAAGAACCAACTCTCAACCAATATTAAATATTTTGTACTCCAACTTGTAGGGACCCAGATCAACACCACAACGATCATTTGAAGCAGCCGACGAGTCGGCCGTTGCAATGCCTGCTGCCCCTTTTCCCCGACCGACAGCACTCCTTGCACCTTCCGCAACCACAGTCCGCCCAGAGTTAAGTAAAATCTTCACAACTAATTCTTGATACCTTGCTCCCTGTGACCTAAACAATAAAATCCATTTTTAGGGACACCTTGATCTAGCCCCTCTGTCGGCTGTTCCAATTCCGGCAAACATTCAAGCCATATTTACTCAAGCCATTGACCGACCTTTCCGCGACCTGGGATCAGACTTCTTAGACGGTCTCCTTCAGGCGATTGGTGACCTTCAAATTCAAATTCCTTCAGAATCGGCAGCCGCCCCCATTCTGCATCGGCTGATGGAGAGACTAGCCGAACTCCGAAATGACATCTTATTCGCCCGACTCCTTTCGACTGAAACGCCCCTACTCAATATGGATCAAATAAGTCTGGAGGCTTCCTTGACTAAAACCAGGGAATCACTTCAACAAGCTACTGGAAGGCTGGATGTACTTCTTAGCGCCAAAACTCAAATAGATGAGTCAATCCAGAAAAAGGAAGCAGAATTGATGGCACTTCGAAAAAAACAAACTATCCTGGAAGGCCACATGGCCGACGAACAGTGCTTGATTGAGCGATATAAGAAAAATGAGGCCGACTTGGACCAAGAGTTAAAGATTCAAACATGATCTCAACTTATCAGACGATACCAATCGGCTGCTAACAACCGACGTCTGTCCAGGACTGAAGACAAATGGTCTCAGATTAAAACTGCTTCAGGGGCCCTTCTGTAAAACTTTGGAAACTTTGGCTTAGTAAATAGTTTATTTCTCCTGTTAACAAGGATCGCTTTCCAAACTCCGAATTTCCAGGGAACAAATCAAACTCATTTCCTTTATAGCTGTCTTTATTCCCTTGTGATAAAGTAAGCAGTCGTCCAAAAACAAATTGAACTTTGAGCATACCTGAAGCATTTATTAAAATGTCACACAACCGTCCTCATGTTTTTGCGAGCAACTGGGAAGGTGTTATCCAACCCTTCTTCGTGGGTTTTCATCATGGTGGAGGCCATGCTGAAGACTTGTTACACATACTCAAACAATTAGATTTCAAATTCAAATTCTCCCGACGAGGCAGGAAAACCATTCACCGTGTTATTCGTCTG